TAGCTTGGACTGCAGCGATACGACCACATAATAAAAGAAGAATGCAGACAGACACTTTCAATAAACAAACAAACAAAAAAGAAAAACCATGGATGACAGAAAAAACACTACAAGCAATAAAGAAGAGAAGAAAAGAAAAACAAAAGAGAGATAAGAACAAACTAAGAATTATTAATGCAACAGTACAACAGCTTGTGCAGAAAGATAAAGAAAATTGCTACAATGACCAATGCTGAGAAATAGAAATCAACAAAAAGGAAAGAACAAGTGATCTATTTCACAAGATCCAAGAAATCAAAGGAAAATTCAAACCAAGGACTGGGACAATCTATGACAATAAAAATAACATAATTCAAGACCAGGAAGGAATAAAAAGACATTGGATGCAATACACAGAAAAATTATACAAAAAAGATGACAAAATGAAGGACACATGGAATGAAGAGCCATATGAAGATGAACCCCAAATTCTTAAAAAGTGAGGTGGAAACTGCAATAAGAGAAATAGCAAAAAAAATCATCAGGAACAGATGATATTCAAATGTAACTGCTGCAATCCACAGTGACAGAGTCAACTCGAGTGCTAACCAATATATGTCAACAGATATGGAAAACAAAACAATGGTCAACAGATTGGAAGCAATCAATATACATCCCCATCCACAAAAAGGGAGACATAAGAGACTGCAGCAACTATAGAACCATAGCACTGGTCTCCCACGCAAGCAGAATCATGCTCAAAATACTGCAACATAGATGCCAACCATATATGGAGAAAGAAATCCTAGAGGTCCAAGTGGGGTTCAGGAAAGGAAGAGGCATGAGGGATCACATTAACGATGGTTAATGGAGCGCACAAGGGAATTCCAAAAGCAAATCAACAAGTGCTTTATAGACTATAGCAAAGCCTTTGACTGCATAGATCATGAAAGGCTATGGAATGCCCTTAAAGACATAGGAGCGCCAACACATCTGATAGTCCTAATGAGGAATCTGTACTCAGGACAAGAGGCTACTGTCAGAACAGAACACGGAAAAACAGGATGCATCCTTTCATCCTATCTGTTCATCTTGTACGCAGAACATATAAGAAAAGCAGGCTTGGACACAAAAGAAGGAAGAGTGAAAATAGGAGGAAGGAATATCAACAATCTAAGATATGCAGATGACAGTACAATAATCGCAGAAAACCTTACAGACTTGGAACACCTCCTAAGGAAGATCAAAGAAGAAAGTGCAAAGGTAGGCTTAATGTTGAACATAAAAAACAAAAAATAATGACCACAGAGAACTTACACATGTTCAACCTAGAAGAAATAGAAATAGTGAAAGAATCCCCATACCTGAGATCAAACAGTGATAGAAATGGGGACTGCAGTCAGGAAATCAGAAGAAGACTAAAAATGGGGAGGGTGGCTATGAAAGAACTAGAAAAGATTCTAAAATGCAAAGATATACAACTCAGCAGAAAAGTTAGAATCATACAAGCCATTGTATTCCCTATTACCATGTATGGATGGGAAAGCTAGACAGTTAAGAAAGGTGATAGGAAAAAAATCAATTCATTTGAGATGTGGTACTGGAGAAGAGTACTCAGGATCCCATGGACAGCCAAAAGGACAAACAATTGGGTCCTAGAGCA